AAGGATTAGGAGCACAGGTGCAGGGACTGGCCACACCAGCTGGAGAAGTGCCTCTCTTCCACTCAGATGATGCTAGGGACTGAATGTCTGTGACACCCCCAAATTCCTATGTTGAAACCCTATCCGCCAGTGTGGCTGTATTTGGAGACAGGGCCTGGAGGGAGGTAACAAAGGTTAAACATGGTCATAAGGGTGGGCCCCTGATCTGATAGGATTAGTGTCCTTATAAGAAGAGACACCAGAGAGCTTGGGTAGTGATCCCAGAGTCCTGGGATCGAGCCCCGCGCTGGGCTCCCTGCTCGGTGGGAAGCCTGCTTCTCCCTCTCCCACTCCCCCTGCTTGTGTTCCTGCTCTCACTATCTCTCTCTCTCTCTGTCAAATAAATAAATAAAATCTTAAAAAAAAAAAGAGCCAGATGTTGGTCGGAGAAAGTTCATTCTCTGACTCTCAGGAAATAGGAGGCAAGCCTGTCTATTGAAAATGAAAGAGGGGTTGGTAAGATCAGGAACATAGACATCAGGGAGAGCCCACTGGTGAGGGATCGATGTCTGACATATGGGGATTCTGGAGAAGACAGGAAAACTTAGGAATGTTGGCAGCATGGTGGGCTGGGACTTCAGGACAAGGCCAAGCAGAGATGTCCCTTCCCTGAATGCTCCTTGGAATCTGCCGGACACAGAATATTGAGGCTGGCTGAGCCCCAGGATATTATTATTTTCTGGAGTCCACAGGAACACTGAGCAGCCCTCTGTTTGTAATGTAAGCAAGTAGATAGGATCTGAGTGTTGTGGATTTTACCTTGGGCTGCAGGTTGTCCCAATGCCCGAGTGAAGGTCAGTGGTGAGAAACCTCAGCTTACTAAGGGCAGGGAAGCAAGGATTAAGTCGGGGGACATTGGAGGGCGCCACCGTGGTGGTGGAACTCTAACCCTGGTTATGAAGTCTGGGCTGTCAAAGACGGGTGCCAGGAAGAGAGCTATGTGCTCCCTCCTTCCTGGACGTGGAGGAAGCCATAGGGCAGGGATAATGGGGACAGGGTGGAGAGAGGTGGGCTCCATGGGAGCGCAGAAAGGCGATGCCAAAGCTAAGAGAAGGAGCCCCCTAAGGAGTCTGGGAAGTGTACTGCCTGGTTGATTGATTTTGTGACCCCAAGCTCATCTCTGGCCCCTTTAATAAAACGCTGTGTGTAATTCAGTATTTGTTTTATGTTTTATAAAGCGATTAGATTAAACTGAAATTAATGTCACTTTGAGGCTCGGGAGAGCATTTTGCGACAGCCCCTTGGGTACCGGAAACCAGCGCAGGCCTCTTTCTGGGAGCAGATGCGGGTGCTGGTTAGGAATCCTGGGGTTGGGTCCTCACACCGTGTCTGGGTGGGTGGCCCTGACAAATGGCTTCACCTCTCTCTGAGCCTCTGCTCCTTCCTCTGCACAATGAGGGTTATGAGAATAAAGTCAGATGGTGCTGGCAAGGACTTGGCAGAGTATCTGGTGTGAAGTGAGTGCTCAGTAAAGGACACCTTTATCATCATCATCTTCGTTCACATTCATTTTAGAGATAGTAGCAATTTCAAAAGAAATCCACAAATATTTCCCCAGAAGATGAGAAGGTGATCTTTCAGGGATATAAAAAATCCCAGGGGCGCCTGTGTGGCTCAGTCATTAAGCATCTGCCTTCAGCTCAACTCATGATCCCAGGGTCCTGGGATCGAGCCCCACATCGGGCTCCTTGCTTAGCAGGGGGCCTGCTTCTCCCTCTCCCTCTGCCTTCCATTCCCCCTGCTTGTGTGTGCGCGCTCTCTCTCTCTCTCCCTCTGTCAGATAAATAAATAAAATCTTAAAAAAAAAAAAAAATCCCAGAGAGTCTCCTCTGAAGAGTTGTCAATAGCCAGCTCCTCAGGTGACCCTTGCAGGTCTTCCTAAAATTCTGCTCGCCCGGTTGCCACCGAGCTTGTCAGCCCCTGGAGGTGGTAGCACCATGTGCCAGACCCCCAAGCCAGGACCTTTTCTGTTTCTGAGCCATTCACTGAGATGGAAGGGAGAGAGGTGGGAGAGCAGGGAGGGAGGCTGGAGAAGATCAAGCCCATTCTCAGCACAAGTCGTTTTGTGTGCAAGTGGGTGTTCATCGGGGACCTTGGCTCCGATTCCTTGTCACCAAGCCCACTCCCCTGAATCCAACATGCAATTGACCCCTATTGTTAGTTCTGCTCATGCATTTCCCCTGAAACAGGACAACCTTTAAGGCAGTGGTTCTCGACCAGGGGCAGTTCTGCCCTCCCTGCCTCCCAGAGGACATCGGGTAATGTCTGGAGACATTTTTCTGTGGGCACAACGTGGACAGGTGCTCCTGGCTTCTAGTGGGTAAAGGCCAGGGATGGTGCTAGATGCACACAATGCACAGGACAGTCCCCCAAGACAAAGAATTCTGTGACTCCCCCTCTGTCCTCCGGATCCTCATTAGTACTTCCCTCTGGCTTCCTCCATGCCGGGGGAAGACCTAGCTCCCTTCCTGGCACCCCTTGCCGAAAGCCCAGATTTAATATCCGGGGTTACAGTGTCAAAGTTAAGAAACCCCACTTGAAGGAAAAGGCAACCCTCTCCACCCCACTTAACTCACTATGGTTATCGAGTTGGCAGTTTGCCAGATGCCACGGATTAAAAAGCCCTACCTTGAGTGACTGTTTTTCATTGGCTTGACACGGTTATGTACAATTTTATAAGCAAGGGTTACCTTCAAGATGTCATTGTTTATTACTTGGTGCTATACGAAAGTGCCATAGCTTACGACACTCCCTTTGGATGTCGTCACTTCATTCATTCACTCACTCACTCATTCACTCAACCAACACACACTCATTGAGCTCCTTCTTACACTGAGACAGGCTCTAGGGATAGAGGATGAATAAGATATCTCAAAGTGTGTGTATTGGGGAGGAGGAAGAGGACAGATGTGCTAGTGAATAATCTCAACATCCTTCCAGGTAGAAGTCCTCATGAGATTCATGGGGGTGGGATAGCAAAGGGGGGTGTGGTCCATGTTTCCTCTGGCGGTCTCAGAAAGCTGGCCCCTTCAGCCATCATCACTTTCTGGTTTCCATTTGCAAGGGACCCTCCTGACACTTCCCTATATGGAAAGGCAAGGGGGGAAGGTGGGTAGCAGTAATAAGCAGTTTGGCCTAATGATGCCCCATTAGGAAGACGCCTATGATCTCACACAATGCGGGGGCCCCATATAAATAAAAAATTGTTTGAATGCCCTTAAATTTCCAAATCAAATGTCCGACCACTCAGAGACAAAGAAACAGAAGGTAAGCAGGGTTTCAAAGCCTGGGAAATACTCCAAACAAAGTAGGTCAGTTCCATTCTTGTTTATTAAAGGAGTTCTTGCCAAGAAGTATGAGACCTCAGGTCTGGATAAGCCCATAAAATACCCAGAAGACCAAGACTTATACACAGGAAACCATCTTGTGATAATACAAGGCAGGACATGAGTGTATGAAAATGTCATGTAAAGACAAAGGACGTAAGGGAGAGCACCCTGGGTGACCGGGATCAAGCTATCTGGTTGCTAGTCCCAACTCTACAGCTAACTTGTTGATTTGGGGCAACTCTCTTTTCTCTGTGGGTCTCAGTTCGCTCATCTGTAAAATAAGGGAATTGGACCAGAGCATCATGAAGCAGCCTTCCAAGGCACACTGAAGACTCAAACCAAGTGAAAGCTCTCATTTCCCCCTCTGCTTATTCCTAACCTGGGGGCCCCTTGAGACTAAAAATGTAGGTTGAACCTCAGTCCTGAAGCCCAACCACCTGTTGATTTCTTTTGACAACCTCAGGGTTACTGCAAATACTTAAGAAGGAGGTGGGGAAGGTGATGAGGAAGAAGCTATTACCCCTCCCATCCCTGGGCACTGAATAACAGCACACCCAGAGGCTTTGAATTATCCCCAGGGTCCTGGGTGGCCCTTCCCCAAATTGGGGGTCCCGATTAGTGAGTGGGTACTATTGCTCTAGCACCTTCCAACCACCAGGCCCTGCCGCTGGTGAGAAGAGGCTCCAGGGTTACAAGGGAGCTGGGAACGAGAGTCCCAAATTCTACTTTTCCATACTACTGCTGCTAGAATGTCAAGGAGCTGCTGGATGGGCAGCTCCTGAGTGTCAACACTCCCATCAGCTCTGGGAGTGAAGGGTTTTCTTATAATCAAACAGGAGAGGACTACAAGAAGGCAAGGTCATTGGACACCTGGAAGGACTCACCCAGGACAGAGACTGGAGACTCCAAATTGGGTCCCCAAGTACTTTGCCTGGGGAGTTTCTTGGGACAGAGGCCTTAAAGGCCAGTTTGCAATGCTGGTGGGAAGAAGTGGTTCTGGAATCTGCACCCCCCCTCCACTCCCCACCCCACCACCCCCTCCCCATTCCTTCCATCCTGGCTGTCTGGGTACAGATCCCAGTGGGAGAAGCCCTGGATTCCAAGGCATTCCTGTGGGAAAGGAAAACAAGCCACCCACTCTGCCTTTCTCTGGACCGGGTTTTTGGAGATCAGCTCCTCCCAGGACACCCCAGACATGCAGACTTTAGGGAGCCAAATCCCAAAGGGGAGGGAGGGAGTTGCTAATGGTCCCACCATAGAGCCGGCAGCTCCAGCCAGAGCTTTCTGAGGTTTCCCCTTCTGCAGCCCTGGGGGTGCGTGTGTGTGTGTGTGTGAAAGAGAGAAAGAGAGAGAGGGAGAGAGAGAGAGAGAATGTCAAGGCTTTGGGGCCCACGGACATAAGCTCCAATCAAATTTTCCTAGGGCAAGATTTTTGGCCTCTTAGAGTCTCTGTTTCCTCGTCCGTAAAGAGAGGGGGACACTACCAACCTGGAAAACCCATCAGGAGGTAGCGATGAAATAACGGAGGCAGAATGCCCAGCGCACAATGGGCACTGCTAGGGGCGCCTTCAGAGTTTCCGTCGGGGCACAGCCTGGAGGGAGGGGATGGCGTGGAGGGGAGAGGGGGTTTACCTTAGGGCTGCCTTCGCCGGGCGCACCTGCCGTTTTTACTCCGGGGGAGGAGGCTATCTGGAGAGGAGGCGATAGAGATGATCCTTGGGGGAGGGGGGAACGGGGTGTCAGGGTTCCCCCTCCTCCACGGAAGATCTGGGGACCCACGGAGGGGAGCGGTACTCACCGTGTGCGCAGCGCAGGCGAGCAGCAGCAGCAGGGGCGGCCGCGGCCACAGCAGCAAGCGGGGACGCATGGTGCCCGGCGCGTCCCCCGCGGGGCGGGGGGGGGGGGGGAGCGCGGAGAGCGCCTCGACGGCCGCCCGTCCTGTGCGCACCCCCGGTCCGGGAGCTCAGCGCCCTCCGCGGGGGCCCCGGCCGGCCGCCGTGTCCGGACGAGCCATGGCTGTGGCCACCCAGCCCGCGGCGAGCCCCAGGACTCCTCGTCCTCGGAAGAGGTGGCCGCGCGCTAAGCCGCCCAGCCCATTGATAAGGACGCGCGGCGCGGCGGGCGCTCCTCCACGCAGCCGCGACTGGCGGGCAGGGGAGGAGGCGGAGGGAGCGCGCGGGGGGCCGCAGGCGGCTCCGGCAGGCTCAGCCCGGGGGCGGAGGAGACCGGCAGAGGGCACGCTGCCTCAGCCTCGGACGCTGCAACGCCCCCGAGTCCCGAAAGAGCGCTAAGTTCTGGGGCAGCCCTGCCGCAAGCTGGCCGCCCGCCGGCGGGCAACGTATGACGCGGTTTTGAGTCTCGCATCTGCTGATGCCCACGTTCGGGTTAAAAGAAGCTTGAGCTGGTGCCCTGCGGACGTAGCGGGGGCTCCGTAAATGCCTATTGCATCGATCGGGTGGGACAGCTACGTGGCACTTCATTTCCAATTTTCATTTTGAGTTTCTTCCTTATTCAAGTCATACCCTCTCATTCTAGGGAATTTCATTCCCATGGGCGCCATCACACGAGCAGGTTTAGATGATCAGGTGAGAAGCCTGTGGTCCACCCAGGCGTTTGGGGGGCTGCGCTGAAGATGAACCCCTGGAGGCTTTGTGCTCCTGGTGTCCCTGAGAAGCTATTTAAGCACCAGGCAGGTCTCTCCAGTAGCCTGCTCAACCTGAGTCTGAGTGCCCAGGTGACCTGGAGGCTGGCTTTTATTTTATTTTATTTATTTTTAAAGATTTTATTTATTTATTTGACAGAGACACAACGAGAGAGGGAACACAAGCAGGGGGAGGGGGAGGGGGAGTGGGAGAAGGAGAAGCAGGCTTCCCCCGGAGCAGGGAGCCCGATGCGGGGCTGGATCCCAGGACACTGGGATCATGACCTGAGCCGAAGGCAGACGCTTAAGGACTGAGCCACCCGTGCGCCCCTGGAGGCTGGCTTTTAGCCTCTCAGTACAGGACCCTCAAATGGCTCTTACACACCCAATTTTTTTCTTTCTGTGTTTTTGTGCCCATTCCTTTCCTCTTGGCTCTCCTATGTTGGCCTTTCTCCCGGCACTTTAAGCACACATCAGCTGCTTGAATTCCCCCCAAGCCCCTTAGTGATATTATGCCCTTTTGACAGAGAAGGGCATTGAGGGTGCAGGAGGATAAATGACGTTGTTGGGTACCCGAGACTCAGAAGGTCAGATGGGAAAGCCTGGCTAACCCTGATACCCCAATTTTCTGTGACTTCCCTATGGTCAGATGGCTAATCTGCCTTTTTTTTTTTTAAGTTAACCTGCTCTTAAAGCAACATATTCTAGCCCATAGCAGCCTTCCTTACCTGAGGAGGCTATTGATAAGGTAAGGTTGGCAGATCACAGCAAAAATAAGAGGGAAAACAGTGCTTTGAGCTCTCAGGTCCACAATCAATGCCCAGGATATATCAGCCTAAAGTATATATGAACATAAATTCATTTGTAAGAACTTTTGCTACGGAAATACTCACCCAAAGACTTAATGAAATATGTGCAAGGATGTTTGTAGAAGCACGAGTACCGTATCGGAGAACAGGAGATAATGCGTGTGGAAGGGGGACACTCAGCCCCACCCCTGATGTTTCCTTCCTCCCCTAGTGCAGCCATTAGTATAATCCTCTTGACCTTTCTCAAGCCCCTCATTCAGGCCCTCCCCCTAGCACACACACACACACAAATGCAGAGACAGGAAGAGCTCTATGTGTGTCATGCATTTGGGATAAGGACTGACATGAGGTTCTGCACCCCGCCTTCCTTTGACAGCTCCCCCACCTGCAGAGAGCCTGTAAGTGGATCACTGGTGCCAGGCTGTCATTGCTGGTCAAGGCTCTGTGTTGATCCAGTATCACCAGTGACAGGGGGGTCTAAGTAATTCTGCAGTTCAGTGTTAGAAAACCTGCCTGCCCACAGGTATAAACGCATTCTCCAAGATCAACTTTACCGTTCGTGAAAGTGATATTTGACCTCATCTGTCTTAATCTTATTTCTTAAATGGTTCAAGATTCGGGCTGGAAATAATGTTGTTACACCTTAAATGTACATCAGAAAGTGCACGCCGTAAGGACTTGCCATTTTTACTATATAGACTTCCATGTTGCTCAAATATTTTCTTTTTTTTGTATAGATTTGATTTTCTTATTTGACAGAGGGAGAGAGAGAGTGAGAGTGAGAGCACAAGCAGGGGGAGGGGCAGAGGGAGAGAGAGAAGCAGGCTCCCCGCTGAGCAGGGAGCCGGATGCAGGGCTTGATCCCAGGACCCTGGGACCATGACCTGAGCCAAAGGCAGACGCTTAACCTACTGAGCCACCCAGGTGCCCCTCGAATATTTTCTTTTTTTTTTTTTTTAAGATTTTATTTATTTATTTGAGAGAGAATGAGAGAGAGCACATGAGAGGGGGGAGGGTCAGAGGGAGAAGCAGACTCCCCGCCGAGCAGGGAGCCCAATGCGGGACTCGATCCAGGGACTCCAGGATCATGACCTGAGCCGAAGGCAGTCGCTTAACCAACTGAGCCACCCAGGCGCCCTCGAATATTTTCTGTAACCACTGTGTGTATTGCTTTTTTGATGGGAAGAAATTTCAAGAAAACAATACACAAATGGAATCTGTGCTCTATACAAGAGCCTCATGATCGCCAGTAAAATAGCAGAACCACATCTGTTCTGGACAATTTAATAAATTTCTGGCCTGTGGCAAGCCTTCCTCCCTTAAATGGGAGGCTCTGTCTCTCTGAGCATTGAGAAAAGGGTCTGAAGGGCTCCACGAAGCCCATTTACAAGCCATGCATGCAGTTAGTGGCTTTATAAAAGCTGCCTGAGAAAACAATTTCATAATAGGGGTGGAAGGGAAAAGGTAGGGAATTAACAAGGTGTTTAATACCTGCCCTGCGCTAGAGAGCCCTTAGACATTTGGAGTGTGTTACTGTAGCCAGTCCTCCAGGACTATATGAGAGACGTTTACTTTCCTTGATCAATGAGATGGGACCTTGAGGCTTAGGGAGGGTAAGCACTCACCTCCAATAACACAGCTAACGAGGGGCAGGGCAGGATTTGAACCCCGGACTGAGCGCAAAGCCTTTGCCTTTACCTTTTGCACTGTACCAGTCATGAAGATGACTTTATTACCCTCGGGCTTCCAGAGTGCTTTGTAGGCATCATCTCATGTGACCCTTGAAATAGCCTCGTGGGGGTGACAGGACCAGCAGCCGTGGCCGGGCAGGACAAGGAGAACCCTTTGCACAGGTGGTTTCACTGAAGAGTGTTTAATGAAAGGACCATTGAGGTGCGGGGGTTTGGGCAAGGTTAAGGGAACCAACAAGGCACAGCAAGGTGCCAGGGACTAGCAACAGTGGGCCTAAAAAGGATGGCAGAGACTCTCTCCTTGATGAAACTTGAGCTCAACTCCTCAGAGTCCTCTTCTCGTCTAGGCCTGGACCTTGACCCCTCTGTCTCTGGCTTGCCCAGCCCAGTCTCAGCAAGAGTCCCACTGTCCTCAGCTTAGTGAGAATCCCTCCAACTCTTTTCTTTCCCCCCCTCCAACTCTTAAACAAATTTTTTTTATTAACATATAATGTATTATTTGTTTCCCCCCGAACTCTTGATAGCTGACCAACCTTGATATCTGATCAAGTTACTCATCCCCCACCTCTGATGTCTCAATCCTGGCCTGCCTTCAGCAAGAATCCTGCTAAGTCCTGCTAGCGAGAATCCCCCACCCTTGATGGCTCCTCTTAGTGATCTTCCGTCCACTGCGCCCCTCACCCTCCTCCTTGGCCATAAATCCCCACTTGTCCTTATTATGTTCCAAGACGAGCTGGATCTCTCTCCCCTATTGCAATACTCCTATAGTAACAGTCTTGAATAAAGTCTTCCTTACCATTTTATTTTATTTATTTATTTTTAAAGATTTTATTTATTTATTTGACAGAGAGAGACACAGCGAGAGAGGGAACACAAGCAGGGGGAGTGGGAGAGGGAGAAGCAGGCTTCCCGCTGAGCAGGGAGCCCAATGTGGGGCTCGATCCCAGGAGCCTGGGATCATGACCTGAGCTGAAGGCAGGTGCTTAACGACTGAGCCACCCAGGCGCCCCTTCCTTACCATTTTAACAAGTGTCAGAATAATGTTTTCTTTAACAAGGGGCCAGGAGAGAAAGCAGTGTCCCAGAAGTTGGTAAGAGCTGTCCTGGAGTCACCCTCGGAACTTAACCATAGAGGGAGGCAGCCACTGTCAAAGTTATGGCCCTGGCAAGGGGTCAAGTGGTCAGATAAACACCCTGACTTCCCTTCTCCTGTCCACTGATCTCCTGGTGATGTCTTCCATTGGTTGAACACAACCCAATGCCAGAGATAAGGCAGACTGACGAGAGAGGGAAGCTATCCATACAGTTTACTTGCGGGATGGAGAAGGGAGGAAAATGGGTTTGGGAGGGAGGAGGCAAAAGGAGAATAACCCCACTTGGAATATTATACCCATTGAACAGATGAAGAAACTGAGATGTGATGAGGCTGTAGCTCAAAATCCCACATTTGGGAGGTAGGCTTGCTGGTACAGAATTCCGGACTTTGGGTCCCCAGCCCTGAATTGTTTCCGTCCCACACCCATCTCCCCCAGCTGTAGTGATGGAAAACCACAGCAATTATTTATTATCATTTCACAGTTCTGGGGGTTGACTCTTTTCAGCCAGACAGTTCTCATTCAAAGTCTCTCCCAGGGGCACCTGGGGGGCTCAGTTGGTAAAGCAGCAAGCAGCCAAGTCTTGATTTCAGCTCAGGTCATGATCTCAGGGTCATGGGATTGAGCCCGAGG